CCCTGCACAGAGGCATTCTTGAATTAAGCTTATGGGTTTTTTTTTTTCTTCTCATTTACAAATTCCCAAAAAGTGTCTGAGACAGAGGGAATACAGCTGTGGGTACATTCACCACGAGACTCTTAGCCAACTGTTTATGCAGCCTATAGGTGCATTCTTGACCTGATTGGGCTGTTCTCTCCATATCTCTTCCATTTGAAGACAGGATGCTGTTGTGTAAGTCCATATAGCTTGTTGGGTAAGGTACCCAGGTCTGCGTGGGTAGTTTAAATGACCTGATTTCAGCCCTTCCCCACCAATATCCTTACAACTCCTAATGGAGCTGAGTGTTGTAGTCATGCTGCCACTGGGTCTTGATCTACATCCCCAGTCTTCTCCAGAGAAATTCTTCAAGAGCAATCTGGGAGGACCACCAGCTCTTCACATACATAGTCACAGCTACAAGATTGGTTGGCACCTCATGTCCCAGCTCTACTCCCTACTACCACCGCCGCCGCCGCCGCCACCGTCACCACCACCACCACCAATACCACCACCCACATGCAGCAGATTTGGTGATCAGCATCATCTATACACTGAGCAGGGAGGGGAGATGAAAACCCAAACAGGAAGCAGATGAAGATCAGCCTGTATTCCCAGTGTTCGGCAGGGCTTAGACAGGTGAGGGTCCCACTGGTGAATGGACACCCCAGAAGAGCCTGGTTCAGCTACAGTCTCAGTAGGAAAGCAGAAGCAGGGCCCCTAAATCAAAGAGGACACGGAGCATACTCGTGTGGGAAGATATGAAAGAGGTCACACCAAAGCTGAACTGCCCATACCAAAAAGGCCAGCTTGCACAATGGGGGAGAAAAGCTAGCATTAAACCAAGAAATGACTATGTGGTGGTTTGAAAGAAAACGGGCCCCTAAAGGGAGTGGCACTATTAGAAGGTGTGGTCTTGTTGGAGGAAAAGTGTCACTGTGGGGTGGGCTTTGAGGTCTCATTTATGCTCAAGCCATGCCCAGTGAGATAGACCACTTCCTGCAAGTCAAGATGTAGAACTCTCAGCTCCTTCTTCAGCACCATGTCTGCCTACATGCCACCATGCCTCACCATGATGATAATGAACTAAACCTCTGAAACTGTTAGCCACCCCCAATTAAATGTTTTTCTTTATAAGAGTTGTCGTGGTCATGGTGTCTCTTCACAGAAATAGAAACCCTAAGACAGCTACAATGAACGCAGAGGGCTACACTGCTCAGAGACCCTCATGGTTTCTCTTCCTTTCCCTCCTCCTGTCTCCATCACAAAGAATTACAAAGCAGAAGAGTGGATGGCCTGGAGCCAGACTGGAACCCCACTGTTTTCCTAGCAGTCATGGATGAAAACACTGTGCTGGGGCTGGGAGAGGAGGAGAATCTGAAGCAAGTTGGATATTGAGTTGTATGATGGATTGGAACTGTGCTTGTAAGTAACTGAAGTGACCAGAACACCATGGAAACAACCCTGGCTATCTCCCACTACACAATGGAAGATGATTCAAGAGGACGGGGAATCAAACTAATGAGTACAGAAGACACAGAAGTTTCCAAGCATAACACAGGGCATTGGATCCTTCAGCCAACCATTCTCCTCCAGTGTTACCTGAGCCTGCCCTTCCCTCTCCAACCTCTCTTTTCCTGCCCACACTATGAGGGTAGCAGGGTTCCGACAGAGCCTGAGAGACAGCCTCTAGGTGGGGTGCTGAATTCTCACAGAAAGGACATGTGCACTCACCTTCCCACTTTGCTGAGCGGGAAAAATGGTAGTTGTCATGAACATGCTAAACCTGTCAGAAGTCATGGGTAAAATGCATTGTGCAAAGTGGGATAAGCAAGTTGTTTTATTCTTAGATTAAATTCTGCACATTTAAAATCACACTAGGATAATCTACATTGTAATAGCAGAGTTTTTACTAAATGCTTCTGATTCTATTTCTTCACTGCTGTGGAGTTGATTTTTTTTTTTCAGTCACTGGAACATGAGCAATGTGACTGTGAGTGTTAGTTTTTGTCAACTTGACACAAACCTAGAACATATCTGGGCAGAGGGAATGTCAACTGAGTAATTGCCTCCACCAGATTGGCAAGTCCGTGGGAGCATTTTCTTGACTGATGATTGATTTAGGTGGGCCCAGCCCACTGTGGGCAGTGTCACCTCTGAGCAGGTGGTCCTGGGATGTATAAGAAAAGTAGCTGAGCAAACCAGGGAAATCCAGTCAGTTGCAGTGTTCCTTGGTGGTTTCTGTCTCTTCTCCTGCTTGAGTTCTTGCCCCTAATTCCCTCAGTGATCGACTGTGATTGGAACATGCCATCCAAATAAACTCTTTCCTTCCCAAGTTGGTTTTGAGCACAGTTTTTATCAAAGCAATAGAAAGCAAACTAAAACAATGATATATGCCACTTCTGGATAGGAAGCAGAGTGCAATTGACCATGTTCCTCTTCCTCTGTTCCCACTATCAGGAAGGATGCCATCTTCCTTGGCCTGGCTCCCTGTGTGAGGACAGTATAAAGAAGTGTCCCATCTGACACGAGGTCTAGGTTGTCCCTTGTGTTTTAGCCACAGAAGCCATGAGGCGTGTATGTTATTGCAGCTCATCCTGGTCTCTCCTGACGGCGTCATATTAGCCGACTGATAACTGTCCTCCACCTTGCAGGTAGGCTACGCCCCAATGTGCAGCACACCTTTCTATCAAGTGTGTAGATTATTCAAGGATGGCCTTGAGTTTGGGGACGTGCCTGGCTTACCACATTCAGGATCATCAACCATTAACTAGAATCAATAGTCCATTTAAGAGGACATGGGCAAAAGGGCTTTTGTGGAATCTATTCTACTAAGAAGGGAAGTGGTGCTGAGACTACATTGTTACGGTGGTTGTTAGAGGCGGCAGTGGCGAGCACAAGGACTCTTCCAGAGTGATCTACCCTACGCTGACAAGAAGTGACAAGAGACAGGGGGCTGGCATACTCAGCAAGAGGAAGTTGGTAGTAGGGAGGGTGCGACCAAGGTTAGGGCCTTCTTAGCATGCCATGAAAATCGCAGAAGAGTAACAAATCCACGCTGAAGGGTTGGAGGGCTTGGTGGTACTTCCTGAAGATCTAACTTCCCCTGTCCCCATTTGTGCAGCAGGAAAAGATCAAGGCTCCTAGGAAAGACTTGAACCTCCTTAATGCCATAGCTATGATCTTGCAGGTCAGTTAGAAACTGGGGATAAATGGCCAGAAATCTAATTTAGCTCTCTCTCTCTGAATTGTTTGTTGTTTTGATTTTTGTTAAGTCTCTGTCTATCCATCCATCCATCCATCCATCCATCCATCCATCCATCCATCCATCCATCTTTCTACAAAGGTATTAGGGCTATCAGGTTCAACCCCTTCGGGAAGCAAGGATTATCTCTGGGGACCCCTGGGACCTGGAACCCCATCCTCCGTCAGACTCGGTGGTCCTGAAAAAACGGCCAGCCCCAGCAACCTCATGACCTTCCTGCTGAACATGTCTCCAATGTTCCCTCCTTGTGGGCATGGAGCAGGGCTCTGAGCCCTGAGGTGAGACAAAACCAGAATGGACTTATCTTGTGCCTTTTCCTTGACTCTTGCTGCAGCTGTCTTGGAGAAAGCAGAGGAGCAGGGGGTGGGGTGAGCGTTCACCCTGCTGTCAAATGTAAGCTCAGACCCACCCCTTTCTACCCCAGGCTGGCTCTCTGCTGGAGGTCAGGTCAACTCCGAACCCTCCAGGAATTCCTGCATGGGAAGTGCTGGCCTCACTTGTCCGAAGCCTGTGGCAGTCCTCTGCATAATAGTGGCTTTTAGTAAAGCCCTTCACTGCTCAGAGTGAAAAGGAACTCCCACCGATGCAGCCCAGGCCCAAGTGGTACAGGAAGCAGAAGCTGCTCTGGTGCCCCCAGGAAGCAGTGAAGGAACCAGCAGTGCTCAGGGTCTGGAATCAGAAAATCTCAAGAGGACACCTACCCTACCTTTCCCAGGCCTTCTCATCACTTTACTCGTCCTAGACCTGAATCCACACTTAGGACCCGGACCAACCCTGCCTGAGTCACCGAGTTATGTTATTACCCATGACAGTGCACGTGACCCAGCAGACACAGCGTCTGGTATATAAGTATCCAGCAAACCAGCTATCCCCATTGCCCCGAAACTGAAATCTCATTTCTGAAACTGGAGAGGAACTGGATAGGGATACCAGATGATGAGGAGCTGTGAAACAAGGGCTCAGATCCTTTTCCAGGGAAGTCTAGCAGAAAAGGTTGGGGCAGGGGGGTTCAAAGGAAATTATCTTCTGTGTACCCACAGAGGACAAAGGTCCAAAAAGGAACCTGGAAAAGCTATCCAAGTTGGTAATTACAAAGGTTATTTTCAAGGACAGCCTTGCATGGGGAGAGAGGGAAAGTAAATAATGCCACTCATGGGAGACCAGGCATGTGGCCCCTAGCCTGGCCCTAGGCACATCATCAACCCCTATCCCAAAGCCTTACGGAGTTCACCAGCAGTCTCACATATGTGTGCCACACAGAACTGAGATCTGGGCTGCCCAAACCCCACTGAGCTTCAGCTTTCCACCTGAATTCCAGCCCAGGGTCCAGATCACAACCGACACAGCCACACTCACCAGACTGAAGCCACAGAACAAGCTTATCTGGGGTCCTGCCCCCAAAGCTCCGCCAGCTACATTCCAGTTGTGGTTTAAGGGAAAGACCCCAGAATGTGGATACTTTGGGGCATCTGCGAGGGTGAAGGTAAGGGGGAATTAAAGCATCCATGATGGCAGGCAAGGGCCAAGAGGACCAGTGGCATCTTCACGGGGAGTACACACCACCCCGAGGCCACTGTTCCCTGATGGCATCCCACTAACAGCAACCTAGATTTTGCAGGATCAGACTTGAGCACGTAGGCCAGAAACCAGGAAACCTTCTAGGAAATGGGGCTTTTCCTTCAGAAGGGGCCACCCCCAAAAAAGAGGCACCAGCTGCCAAAGTTTACTCATTTTTTATTTTTTATAAAACAAGCTACAAATACTTCCCCTTGCTCCCTCCCTCCCAAGGGAAACCCACACAGCACAGCCTGCACCCATCTGTGAGAGAAGATGGCTGGGCAGATTCCTGGCGGAGGTGGCTTCTCTGTGCACATGTTTCCTTCAGGCCGGGAAACGGGCCCCGAGTCTGCTGTGAGGGCCATCTGGCTCCAGCACACTGTGGGTTTTGTTTTGTTTTCTTTTTTTTTTTTTTTGGTCAAAGCTCCAAGAAAGGGTCACTGGTCATCACGGGACAACATGTGTGACTTTCTGCAGAATAGCAGGAACCTCGTGTCGCCAACACTTCAGCAAATCAAGTCCCGAGAAGGCTGTGCTCCCCACACCCAGGGAAGCATGTATGAGGCCAACGCCTTCCAGACCCAAGATAGAAGAGGGTCTACCGCCAGGCGGTGGTGGCGCACGCCTTTAATCCCAGCACTCGGGAGGCAGAGCCAGGCGGATCTCTGTGAGTTCGAGGCCAGCCTGGGCTACCGAGTGAGTTCCAGGAGAGGCGCAAAGCTACACAGAGAAACCCTGTCTCGAAAAACCAAAAAAAAAAAAAAAAAAAAAAAGAAGAGGGTCTACCAAGGTGGATGCGCTTCTGGGATACTGAGATGGAATACCAGACAAGGCCAGATTGCCAAGAACAAGCCATCGAAAGCACCAGCCCTGAGCTCCTGACCTCCCTCGCTGCCTCCACGGCTGGCAGTGGAGACAGCTGCTAAGTGTCACTTGCTGCTCTGACCGAAGGCCACCTGAATCAGTATGGCACCTAGACAGAAGGAGCTGCTTATCTGTCCTGAAGGCCGGATGGCCACTCTGCAATCCCAGTAACACCCTGTGCAAAAGCCTGGATTCCCCTGGAGCTGGATTATTAGTCCTGTTTCTCCTGGGGAAGCAGAAGTAAGGGACACCACATGAATTTTATTCCTAGAATTGGTCCACAGGTCTGGAAGTCCATGAGGAAAGTTGAAGGAATCAGAGGACCAACTCCAGTATTGGTCAACAGGGTGAGGATTGGGCTGAGAGATGGAGGGAGAGCACGGAAGTAAGACACAGTCTGACGCTGGTGTTGGGGGAGACGTGCCTGTGGAGCCTCTCCTGTGGGTTTGCAGAAGGGCTGGCGCAGGCCTGTCCTCTCCACCATCTCGTCGGATGCCAAACACCTGCTGAAGGAGAGCCCTGCTGGGTATCCCTTTCTCACATGCTTGGTGTATCCGCTCTGGTGTCCTACATGGGGCAGGTGCTAAACATGGGTGGAAATGTTTGAAGTAGCCCAAGCATAATTTGCTCAGGTATTTACCCTAGACTGCCAAGGGTATCTGAATAGTAGGAGTATGTGGGCCACTGGAGAATTTTGGAGTCCATGCTGGCCATCACATGAGCTGAGCTCCACTCATACCCAACCTATGGTCAAGTGACAGACGTTGACAGCTAATGACTTGGAGCAGTACACTCTTCCCACCAGAAGAGAGCTGATAGTGTCCACAGCACGAGCACAGGGCCGCCATCTACTCTCACACAGAGTCCATCTCCATTGAAACCCAGGTGAGCTAAGGATGCAGTCTGAGGAGGCTGGACTGTGAGTCCAGAGGAAAGAGAGGGCAGGGAGGAGACAAATAGTAACACCAATGCCTGTACAAAAGAACTATACAATTTACATATATATTTATATACAGTATATAAATCTCTTTCCTCTCGATCCCAATAGCAAACCCCCTCCCCAGTAACCTACAAGTTGTCAGTAGCAGATCCAAAAACTTAACAATACAAGAGAGAACAAACAGCTTTTCTTCCCTTTCCTGTTCCCGCTGCGGTATTAGATAACTGGTGTTTACAAATGAGACCAGAAACAAAACACACACACAAGAGTTATTAAAAGTGCAAACATGGCAGGCACCACTTATGTTACATGGGCTGTGGCTGGGCGTGGGCAGCGCTGAAGGTTAGGTGTCTGATGGCTGGTCCTGTCTCCTTGGACTCTCCACTGGCCCTTGGATTTTCTGCTCCTTAGACGAGGCGTCCAACTGGGAGGGAAAAGGAGAGTACAGAAAGAAAAGTGATATAAGCCAGAGGTTAGAGCCAGGTATATGAAGTGTTCAGCTACCTGAGTGAGTTTCAGCATGAGGACAGCCTTTGCACAAGGGATAGACTGGGTGGGGGTGGGGGTGGGGGACAGGCTGCCTAAGTGTTCTGATGTGCGCGTCAGCTCACAATATCTGGAGTTGGTTCGGAACTGCAAAAACCTTGATTCTGCCGGACAAGCACAGGATGAGGGTGTGTTCTAACTAGACCATACTACCTCAGCCTGGAGGAAATGACAGGAGCCTGTGACAGGTGGGGGTGACAGAATCCTTTCAGTGCTGGTACCATCCTCCTCTTATGCCCCCACCAGATGCCAAGTGTGGCCCTAAAGTGATCTGGCCAGCCAACGGCTTTGCTGCTGGGCTGCCACAGCATCAGCAGGGTGTCCACAGAAGAAAGGGGGGGAGGGCCGGAAAGAAGGCAACTTACTGAATGGGTTTGTGCCTGCTCGTTTTCCCTGGGGGAAGCTGCCAAGGCTACCACCTGCAACAAATAGGAACATATGACATGGGAGAAGCTTGGCCCAGAGAGCTGGCAGAGCTTGGGTCTGAGTCCCTGTCTCCTCTGCCTTCCGAAGGGACGGGAGTGGGAGGAAGCCGGAGTGGCATGGCTGTGCTTCCTGTTCTGTGGGCGCCTACTGCCGTGTGCGCTGCCTGGTTGCTGTCCACCAACTCCTTGAAACGGTCTCTTTTCTCTAGGGCAAACTAGGGTGTCTCTCTGGTTTCTTGCTACTACGCCTGCTGTCTCTGTCATTGTTTTTGCTGGAGCAACCTTTCTCTCTGTAGTCCAGGCTGACCTTGAACTCATACTGGCAGACACCAACAGAAGAAAGAATACACAGTTCTCCACTTTCCTTTTCCCACTGTGGTATTGGACCCCACTTGGGATGCCTCTTTGGAATTCCCTCAGCTCTTAGCTAAGAAGGGTTTTAGTGGCTATTGCCATAACTCTCTTGGTTCTGGTTCTCTGGGTCCTATAATATCAGAGGTGGGGGGGGGGACCTTAGCCCCTTCACTTGCCAATTCAGGCAACAAAGGCTCAGAGTGACTTACACGAGGTCCGAGACCCGAACTGTTAACACCCACTCCTGTGCACAGGCTGCCAAGCAGCCCAGCAAGCTGGCCATGGTGCTCCTTCGAGACCTGATCTCCCAAAGGAGGAACTTACCAGGAGCCGGGCCAGTTTCCTGTGTCTCTGAGGCCTCTGGACCTCACAGGATGGGACCAGAAGATAGAATTAGGATGACACCTATGCTGCTTCTACTCTGACTCCCATGCAGGATTGCCCCAAGGATCAGATGAATTCATGGAGGTTCGGGGGTTCAGCCCTGCTGAGCCCGAGCTTACCTATAGATCTATGACCCCACAGCTCAGCATCCCCCAACATTCGTAAGACCCAAGAGAGACAAAATAAGGGTAGACGTTGGTACATCCAAGTTTGCAGATGAGGTCACAAATCCAGAACAAGAAGAGAAACAGACCAAAGGCAGGCAGGTGGGGAAAAGCATCTCCAGGCTGCATGACCTCAGAGTTCATATTTACTCTGCTCCACTCGGCAGCTGCTGCCCTCAGTGGAAAACACAGAGATCTGTACACAGAGAGAGAAGGCCTAAGGCAGTTCTGGCCCTGCTTCATCAGTCGAGATCCAGAAAACAAAATGGAAAGCCGGGAGCACATCGCTGCACCTCAGCAGATTTCAATAAGAGGAATGAGGTGATCCCCATTTAAGGAGGCTAAGAAACCAGAACGGCCCAACATTCATGGGAGGAAACAAACCCAGCTCCGGCTATCGGTCGCTGGACCCATGCTCTGGACCCTCAGAGGGAGAAGAGAAACTTGAACCCAAGACAGCTGTGCTTCTGAGCCACCAAGACCCTAGTCCTCACACTGCTTGCTTTACAGGCTGGCGGCAATAATCCTGACAAATGTGCTTTGTAAGTTGGAAAAGACCAGTTAATAAAGAGGCCCAGGCCTCCAAATGTCAGCAGGCTCTACCATGCTGGGCAGGGGATTCAGGTCTCCAATGAGAAGGTAAAAGAAGCCGTGTTCATGTGGCATCTCTAAAATTCTGGTCCCTCAAACCCAAAACTACACTCCTCAAGTCCCACATCCTCTCCCCGCCCACCGTGGGCCCCCACCTGGCATGCAAACCCCTCTCAAGCCACCAGAGGGCACCACATAATACCAGATGACCTGTGCCTGGGCTCCCGCATGCCATCCAACCAAGTGGCTTTGTGCCCCCCAGAACAGAGGGAGGCCATGGGGTGGCCAGCAGCACCTCTGGTCCATGGGTAGATTCCTCTGCTACTGGTAGCTCCTGTGTGTTCACTGTGCATGCAGACTCTGCCCCACCCTTCACTGGGTCCTCCCTAGTGCTCCTCACTCCTCCCTAGTGCTCCTCACTCCTCCCTAGGCTTCCCCATCATCCTCCATTCTCCTGCTAGCACCATATGCCTGAAAACCGGCTTCCTCATCAGGGCCCTGGACCTCTGCTCATAGAGCCCCAAGGCCACATCTGTACCCCCACTGCCCTGGATTTCTCTCTGGCCATTCTCTTGACTGGCGCAGACAAGGCTGGCCTGCTCCCAAGAGACATTCTCTTCACTCAGGGGTCCTTTTCATGGAGGGCACAGAAGCTAGACTTCAAAGTCCTGTGGGTGAGCCAAGCATTGGCAACATGGCTGCCCCGTGAGTGCAAATCACTGCCCCTCTGCCTAGTCCAGACTGTTCTAACGCAGAGCAGCAGAAGCCACTGGGCTCTAAACTCCTAGCAGCAGCGTGTACTATGCTGTGTGGAGGAATGGAGCGGAGAGGGGAATCCCAATGTGCTCTCTGTGGGCTTTGCATCTACACAGCTCCCTGCCCCAACATGAACAGTAACCCTACACTCACCTCTTCCTCCTATCCCAATGTTCTACTTCACCCCACTCCATCACACACACACACACACACACACACACACACACACACACACACACAAATGAGAGAGAGAGAGAGAGAGAGAGAGAGAGAGAGAGAGAGAGAGAGTATAGTCATGCATACATATTTTAAGTAGGGAATAAAGGTCTGAAGAGATGTCTCAGCCCTTAAGAACACTTGCTGCTCTTGCAAGAGAATCCAGATTCAGCTCCCAGCATCTACATGGTGGCTCACAACTGTCTGTAATTCCAGTTCCAATGGGGTTCTCTTCTGGCTTCTGCAGGCACCAGGCATGTGCATACATGGAGGGAAATACTCATACACACAAAAAAAAATTAATAACTTTTAAAGACAGGCATAGACACACACACCTGTGTACGCACACAGCTAGAGATGCTCTTGGGCAGGTATCTATGCAGGCATGTTCACAGAGACACGCCAGAGAGATACATGCAAATTACAGATGCATGTAGACAGGTCACAATCATATGTGCAGACACAGGCACTCCAGCCACCTTTGAAGTGTGGGGGTGGGGGCGGGGGGTCAGGAAGATAGGTTAGGCAAGAAGCAGGAAGCACCCCAGGGGTCTCTGGGAAAAACTGTTCAGAACACTCAACTCTATAGTCTGCTTCTGGCTAAATTTGGGTTGGAGGAGCATCCAGATGAGCGGTGGTCCTTAAATCCTGCATCCCTGTCCACGGGTTCCTCTGGATGCTTTCTCCGAGTCCTGTGTATCAACTGGAACTGGCAGACACCTGGTGCCTGAAAAAGTTCCAGGGGGAGGCTCCCTAAGTTCTATGGACCAAGTCAACACACTGTACCTTCCCCTTGGCTTTCGGTGATGCAAGCATACTCCCAGCACAAAAGGGGACGCAGTGGGACAGGGTCAGGCCTCAACAATCCTCACTCAGGTCCAAGCGTCCCTGGGCAGACCTGGGATGAGCACTTGGCAGTCTCTTTCAAATATGGCCTTCCTAATCCAGTGGCTCCTCGCTACCTTTATGAAGCCTCCCGCTTGAGCGAAGAGTTCTCCAGCCTTACTTTGCCTACAGTTGCTATAGCCCAGTGACAGAGTTCCAGCCCATGAACTATGAGAAATTATGTGCAGATCACTCCTAAGACTGTCCCAGAGAATAACCTCACATGCCCAAGCTTACTCTATATGGATGGATGGGAATAAATCAGACCAACAGTGTAGCCCTAAATGCCCATTGATGAAGGCAGCAGGATCATTTTCAGTTTGATTCCTTGAGGTATGTAGAACAGTCCCTGTTCTATCTCCTACACATTCATACCACATGCAACACATGCACACACACACACACATACACACACACACACACACACACACACACACACACACACACACGCACGCACGCACGCACGCACGCACGCACATGCACATGCACACAGTCTGGAACTATGCTGCCCTACTCCATGGATAAGATAAACGATAAGCAATTTTTGCTAAGTTGATCAATGATGTGTGAGAGTCTATTCGTTACTTTCTGCAGTCTGGCCTGCCTGACAAATACATTCTCATAGTACTAATCACAGAGTATGTGAATAACTATTATGCCTCCTCAGTAGACGGTATAAGAATAGAAACCTTATCAGTAATTCTACAGCTGCAGCAGGCAGCTAGCCCTGAAGCACAGCCCACTCCCAGTAAACAGCTGGTGAATACATGGATGTCTAGGACCTCATGCCTCAGGACAGCTCTTGGTTCCTGTCCCTGGGTCAGGCAGGTATTAAGAGGCCAGGCACACAGGGGCAGAACTCACCTTCTTTACTAACACCCAGGCAGCCCTTCAGCTCAGGCAGTGAGATGACCTTGTCCTTGTTCAGGTCACAGTAGTCGGTGAAACGCCGGGCACATTTCTTGGGCTTGGCTTTCTTCTTGACGTAGCGCTTGAATGGCTTCATCTCCCGCTTGTTAATGTCGTCACTGTTGTTGCTATCCAGCTGACTGAAGTACCAGTGTGCCACCCGCTCCTCCAGGGTATGGCTGGGATCCGGCTCTGAGAACCTGGGCCGTGGACAGACAACCCCACCCCAGAGGTTAAGCATTTGTCCCTGCCAACTCATACTGAAGTTACAAATGTGTCTGTTGGGGAGTGAGGGTAGACCCTTGAAGCGAGATTTATTGCCTTCTTAAGAGACTGGGTGAGTTCTTATGGAAATAGGTTGGTTCTCACAAGAGTAGGCTGCTATGAAGCAGATACCCCTACCCCCAAATCTGCATGTACTTCTACTACTACTTTCCACCATGAGTTAGTTGAAGCTGTAAGAGGCCCTCACCAGAAACCAAATCGATGCTGGCATGCTCTTGGACTTCCAGAACCATGAACCAAAATAAACCTCTTTTCTTTATAAACTACCCAGCCCAGGGTATTTTGTTACAGCAACAGAGACCAAACCAAGATCATCTTCATGCTGGGCTGCCAGCCATCAGGTAGTAACAGCTTTTTCCTTAGGGGTCTATAAAGTGATCCTTATTTCATTGATCTGCCTCGTCCTCTGAAAAAAACAGGACATTTCTTGGGCAGATAGGCACTCAAGACAAAAGACGTAGATCTAGTCCCCCTGAGTAAACCATGTCTAGGATCTAAACTGTATTCTCTTGACCCCAGAGATCACTGTCAAACAGGATGCTTTCCTGAACTTGTATATGGGTACCAGCACTGAGTATTCATCACACCCAGTACCCGGCTCTGGAGATGTCAGCCTAGCCTCAAGCTGTTCCCTGTCTCAGAAGAGCAGAGCCCAAAATATGAAGACTGGCATATGGGGTGTGTGATGTCCCCATGACCTGTGGCTTTGTGCTTATGTGTGGAAGTCCAAGGTTCATGTCAGGAGTCATCCTTGATCAGTCCCTCACTGTATTCATTGAGGCAGAGTCTCTCCATTGATTGAAGGTGCATCTCCCCTACAAAGATGGTCTAGCTCTGTGTCCACCTTCGAGTGCTGGAATTATATTTCACTCTCAGCATTTACATCAATTATTGAGACCTGAACTCTATTCTCATGTTTGCTGCTTATACTTTGACGGCTGAGCCACCCCCTACTCCCACCACCCCTCCCCCGCCCCGCAACCCCAAACAGAGATTTTAAAGCAAGCAAATTCTAGACCTATTGGGATGAGTCTCTACAGTCTAACATTTCCACTCAGGAGGTCTGGGGCAGGCTTAGGAGATCATATGCTAACCAGAGCCCCAGCTAATTCTTAGAGAAACTAAAGTGACCAGAGACACACCATGGTGCCCAAATACATAGTGATGACCACATCTGGCACAGTCCATAACGATGGACCACAAAATGACAAGGCCAGCATCTATGTGTATAAGTACATGGAATGGTCTACCTATATGTCTCATTTACTACTTAATTATTTATGCATCATCTTTACTCAGAGAAGTCAGAGTAATACTAATATTTACAGTGTTGAAAGCCAGTGGTAGGTCGGTTGCAGAGGGGTTGGTTGGAGTTTCTGAACAGAAGAAGAAAAAAGACGCACAAGTATCCTGTTTCAGTTCCTGGGGCCTGACACTGACTATGAGCAAGGATCCATATTCAAATGCCTGGGTGACTTGCCCCTGGGGAGGGGATAAGGCTGAGGTTGAGATCCTATCCATTTCAAATGACTGGTGTGCAGGGTCTGCGACAGAGCCTTGATAGAGGAGTTCACTGGTAAGCAGGGATCCTAGACCAGGCCATCAGGACCTGCTGGCACACTCTGAAGACACACTTGGTTAAAAAAAAAAAATGTCCAGGGCACTTGCTAATATGACACCCCTCTCGGGTTTGCTTTATGTTCTAGAAAGGAGGCGACCCTTCTCACCCCTGCCCAAGCACAAGCTGGAAAACCCCATCTTGCTTCACAGTGACTCTTAAGGGACATGAAGTTCAAGCAAAAGAAGCTGCATTATGGAAAAATAAAAAAAAAAAAAGCCAGTCATCACTGTCCAGTCCATTCTTAATGAGGTGGCCTCAGTCTTGGGTAAATCCCCTGGCATCCTGGATTCTAAGAAGCATGTCAGTAGGGCCTCATCCTGACAGCTTCCACCCAGAGAGAACCTTAGGGAAGGTGTGACAGAGCCACACTGAGCTGTCACTGGCCTTTGACTCCTAGGGAAGCTGCTTAATCCGCCACGGAAACCAGGTGCAGGCGGTCTGAAGCAGCCTGGCATTCTTGGCAGTGTGTCACGCCCGTGTCCAAGTGTTTTTACTTTTCGTTTATCAGCCGCAGCGCCTGCTCTCATGGCTGCCCCTGCAGTACACACAGGGTGGGCAGGCTGAACCTCTGTAGGGATGCTCAGGGTGCAGGAAGGGGAGGCCCCAAGCTCTGGACGAGAAAGGAGCTCCGAAGGAAGGCTCTCTCGGGGGAGGCAGTCAGGGAGCTGTGAGAGCCCCAAGGCGAAGGCAGCTCTTCCTTTAACCTTTAGGCTTCGCATAGCGTAATGTCTACCTAAAGGCTGGAATAATAAAGTCTCGGTCCCTGAGACGGGAAGGGATGAGGTCATCCCACCCAGAGGCCCTGCCAGGGAAGGCTTTCTCCCTCCAACACATGTTCCTGGAGCACCCTCCTGTCCGCCTGTCTGTTCTCTGTGATCAGAGCTCTCCCTGCCTACCTTCAGGCTATTTCGCACCAAGAAGCAGCTCTGTTTTCCTTGCAAGCTCTGAGTTGGCCAGGGGGTGATTATCATCTGGGCCCATTCCTCTGCCCTCCTGGCTCTCCTCCATCCATCCCTCTTTGCTCTCTCATCAAGACCTACAGTACAGAGCAGCCCTGATTCCCCACTGCTAGCTTGCACTCCCTGTCCGATGCCAGCCCACAGCAGAATGCTGGGCTAAATGCAGGACACCATTTTTCAGAAGAGGCTTTCTGAGTTACTTCCAAGACCCCAACCCACAGCCTAGCCTGTAGGGACTAATCCCAGCTATCATGAGGCTCTACCTTTGAACTCCTCTATCTCCAGAAGTCCCCTTAAATAACAAAGCCTCGACTCTACCTCAAAGCTGGGGGATGGCAGGGCCATACTTGGGAACCCAACCCCTTTACCAGAACAAACTCCAAGAACTTTTATACTCTTGATCTATCATCAGTCCTGGGATAGCCAAACCAACTCTGAGCATGTACAAGAGAAGACACCAGAGACCTCTGTGAACCGAGCAGTTCTGAGATTCCCCCTGCAGGGGAGTGCTAGAGAGGGGTGAGCCAGAACATGAGATCTCCCCAGATTTTCCAGGAGCCTCTCAATCCATCTTTGCCAGAGTCCCTGACATCACAGACTCCTGACATTTATACCCTGACCTCAAAGTCACGCCCCACCGGTCCCTCCAGTTCTCACAACTCTCTGAAAATATCCTTTTACACTTTTTTTTACACTCATTCATTCGTGTGTGTGTGTGTGTGTGTGTGTGTGTGAGAGAGAGAGAGAGAGAGAGAGAGAGAGAGAGAGAGAGAGAGAGAGAGAGAGAGAATACATGTGTGCAGGTGCACATGCCACAGTATACACATGGAACTCTGCAGACAACCCAAGGGTGTCAATTCTCTCCTTCCACCCTGTAGATTCTCAGGATCTGACTCGGGTCATCCGTCTTGGTGGCTAGCCCCTTTCACTTAAAGAGCCATCTTGGTGGCTCTGTGGAGGCATCCTTTTACAAACGTCTGCAGCTGGGACCACAGCGTAGGCTAACACTGGCAAAAAAACTCAATCTTGCTTTCCCATGTGTGCCCGCATGCACACACACATATACCCCTACTGGGGGCTTGGGTTGTTCATCAGACTGGAGCTGGGACCCTATGCTGGAGGGGCCAATGGCTCCTTAAGATCAACTGCAGCCCGGGCGGTGGTGGTGCACACCTTTAATCCCAGCACTCGGGAGGCAGAGGCAGGCGGATCTCTGTGAGTCCGAGGCCAGCCTGAGCTACAGAGCGAGTTCCAGGAAAGGTACAAAGCTACACAGAGAAACCCTGTCTCGAAAAACAAAAAAAAACAAACAAACCAAAAGATCAACTGCATTTATTATGCCTATAAGGACCCCTTCATGGGCAAAGTTCTTCTAAAATGGATACCTGTGTGGGTAGGATGCCCAAGTTTCTTCAGATGTAGTGTGGAAAAGCTACACCCAAATGACCCTCATTCTAGACTCAGGATATAGTTGCTCAGTGACTCTGCCTTTGGACTATTTTAGTAACTTCTGCCTTCAGGGACAGGGAAACCCACTGGAGCCAGGTCCTTCCCTGAACAGACACACTCAGCCTTCTCCCAATATTAGGGTTGGTGAAGGCCATCCTTCTGCGGCACTTTCAGTTTTGATTCTGTGGCCTTGGCCCTGGCAGGTTTTGGCTGTAACACACAGTTGGAGAGCCAAGCCCGTTTACCACAACCTGCTTTGGCCAAGATCTGGAGCCCAGTTCTGCTGTCCTAAGCAGTTTTAGAGAAGGTAAGGAGGGCTGGCCAGGAGGTCTGAGCCAAGCCAAGCAGACCGACCGAGCCCCATCTGGAGCTGGGTCCAAGCTCCACCAGCTGTGCGGGTGGAGCTGGGAAACGCCAAGTCAGCCACATTCCAGACTCTTCCTTGCAAAGCCATCCACAGACAACCAACTTCACTGAGCCAGGAGGATGAGGCCACTCCACTGGCAGTCTCTCCTTAGGAGGCAGGTGAATGACTAGGAGACCCACACAGGCAAGGCTGGCCGGCTCCCCCTAGAGTGCCCTAGAGACTCACACCTAGGTAGATAGCCTTCCTTCGAGACTGACAGTCTAACGGATGGGTAGATGGCTGATCCAAGGGAGGCTGCTGCCTTCCAGAGCTCTGGTGGAGGGAGCCAAGGGCATAAGTTAATCATCCAGCAAGGGGCCAGTGAGGAAGGCTGTCACCTAAAGATTTGTAATGCCCCTGTGTGTGTACCAGTCACAGATGTTCCAACAGACACCCAACTCGACATTGTCTAATTTTAGATTTGGGCAGCACTGTTTTTGGCCACTCAGTCAGGCTAGGAGGCCAGAGAGGGAAGCTGGCACCTCCCTCCCTCCCTCTCCCTGCCTCTACCCAGTCTTGAGAATCTATTTATTTCATGCACAATGTTTCAGTAAATCCTCCCTCACTGCTGGGTTATGCTCCCAGCACCCTCCTGCTGTCGACTGTTCCCCTGGCCCCCTCTTAAATTTCCCTGTTTTTGCATCATAATGCCATCAGCATGGTCATTCAAAGGTGCTCTCAGCCACCATGGTCCCTGATGCCTCTGGTATGACTCGGTTGGCCCAACACAACCTGGGCTCTGTCCAGCTCTGCAGCCTCATCTCCTACTTGCACACACCACACCCCAGACCTAATCACACTGCTTCTGCCACTCTTCCCATTATGCCCCCGCTTGTTCCTCTCTCATTGCCCACATGTTCCTCTGCTGAGAAGCCCTCACTTCTGGTACCACTGGGTTGGCCCTCCCCCCCCCCCCCCCCCCCCCCCCCCCCCCCCCGTGTAAGTGAAAAGTCACCTGTATCATCAGCTCTCACATGTCCTCCCTGCCCTGAGTCCTGGAAGGTCTTATCAGCCTCTATGATCACACCGACTTTGTAATATAGTCTCCTGGGTATATACCTCTTCTCCATGCCAGAAGCATGCCCTTTTCTTCAGACATCCCCCAGAAACAAGCACAGAGCTTATACCAAGGGCAGGCTGAGAAGTGCAAAGCCATGTCTGACAAGTTGGAGGAGGGGATGATCGACTTTCTATGCTACCCCAAACAACCTCTCTCCCTTCTTCCCACAGTCTCCATGTGGGACTGTTTCCCACTGATGTCCCACTTTAATTGTCAAACCCTGAGGGAAGGGTTGGATATGGCTTCTTTACCCTCATGCCTGCAACCCCAGCTCTCAATTCCAAAGCCAAGTCCAACACCCAGGATCTCTGCATTTCCTGACTCTCTTCATTAGCCCTATTCCAGAACTGCTGCTCAATCTCCAGCAGCCCCATGCCCCCCTCCCCTCATTCCTCCATCCTGGAAGAGCGGCTGGCATCTGTCTATACAGCATCCTGAGTCCATCAGACCAGGGCAGAGTGCTGGAGGGCCCTGCTTACAAAACAATCACAATGATCTTCCATGTTGCATCCAGCCTTACATTTAGTGTTACCATGGTCGCTGGACTGTCAGATCTACCCCTCTGTCTACCATATCTACTATCCTTCCTGCTATGTATCCATCGGCACATGTTGAAAATCTACCATGGGATCTAAATTCTAGGAATACAGCAGGAAAAGACCTCTGAGAAGGTGGTCTGTCACCACACCAGACAGTCACCAGAAAGGGGGAATGACGTTCTGGACTGAAAGGGAAGCTGGTGTGAGGGTCCCAGGACAGCCAGCAGAACATGTGGAAGGACCAGTGACTGGAAACTACAAGAGCAAATGGCCAGCAGGACCTTCGTGAGGGCCATCCGAGTACAAATCAGGGCTTCTGCTTGATGTAATGGGGAGATCCAGGAGAGCCCAGGAAGGCTCGCAACCCTGGTACCTCCCCAAACAATGCTTCCCCACACCCTCCCCGTCTTCACTCCACTCTCTTGCCTGATTTCTAAACTATTTCCTGATCTGTCTTGTCTTCCTGTTGATTAAAAGTCCAGCCCTCGGGTAACACATATACCCAAAACAGTCCAAACCTCTCAACCCTATCAAAACCAAGCATGAACAAGCTAATAAAAGCTTAAAATGAAAACTGAGTTTTGGGAAGTGTCTTTTTTTAAAAACCTTCCCAACCCTAAATTATACCTAAAAGAGGAGTTATTTCTTTCAAGTCCTTCCCTCAGGATACATTGGTATGAAAGACATTATAAATTTCCTAGTTTTTAGTGCCTGTAAAAATCTCCTAACTTCCTAACAATCCTAACTTCCCTTGGTGGCAGGGCCTGTCTATGATCCCCTTCCTGTAGCCAAGACCGTGCAGTCCTGGGGTCAGTGGCTCCTGTGGAAGCCAGGGGAGGGGATGTCCCAACAGGGCTGAGGCAGAACTTGCAGCCAAGACCCCTGAGCTGGTGAGTGGGCCCACCCAGACCTAAGATTTCTGTGCCCATGCCTCCTACTTCATTTATGTTTTCTCTCCTTTTTCTAAACAACATAAAAACAGCAGTTCTCCCTTCTACATTCTAAGATCCCCAATGATGCCTGAAACTGCTGACAACTGAACTCCAAATGCACTGCTTTTCCCTACGGTCTGTACCTATGATCAATCTTAATTTATAAATGAAGAACATGTATACGTTAAGCAGCAGAAATAACTAATAATAAGATCATTATAACAAAACATCATCGTACTAAAAGTTATCATAAGCTTATAAATTGTTTTCTTTCCAGAATCTTCCAATTAGCTGTTTTGGTCTGCAGTTGGTTAGGAACAACTGAAATCGTGGAAAGGGAGACAGAGGACAGAAAGTCACTACTGCAATTCATGCCCAGGGTTTCATCAAACAGCTGCTGTTGAGCAAGCTCTGGGCCATTGCATGCTATAGGCGTGATAGTGAGCATTTGTAACACTCACCCCTTCCCTTCTTCCTGACAACCAGGCGCGTGGCCTCTATTTCAGATGCTGAGCTGCTGAGCACTGTGGGAAGCCTTGGAGCAACTCTCATCCACAGCCTGTCAGACCCTGTCTCCCTCTTTCTCAGATTTTGTGTTGTACTCCCTTAGAGGGAGGCCTGGCTGGCATGCCCCAGGTAAGAGGAAACAGAGCCATTATCAGAAGCCAGCCTTGAGCTCATGAGACCCTGAAGGGCACAGATTAGGCACCCAGACAAGTATTTTAAAGAAATAAGCCAGGTGGTGGTGGCGCACACCTTTAATTCCAGCACTCGGGAGGCAGAGGCAGGTGGATCTCTGTGAGTTCGAGGCCAGCCTGGTCTACAGAGTGAGATCTAGAGCAGAAACTAAAACTACACAGAGAAACCTTGTCTCAAAAAAAAAGAAAGAAAGAAATAGAGCTGGTGTACCCTGTCTTTTCCTTTCCTTTCTTCTAAAAATTTTGTCTATGTAAAAACCCAGAACATAATCTCTATGCTCCTGCCAGGATTATAAGAGCATGACACCGTACTGTGAACCATCAGGACGGCAACTTAACCAACAACTTAATCTTGACTGACTGAAATGTGAAACCTATTGACTAAAACGTCCCCATTTCTGCAAGTATGGTTGCAAACACCTGTGATTCCAGCACTCAGGAAGCAGAGGCAGGAGGATCACAGCAAGAACAAGGACATTCAGGGCTACATAGAAAGGCATTATTCAAAATGGATTAAAATGAATAAATAAATTAATAAACAAACAAGCCCTCCATTTCCCTCTCCTAATAGCCCTGACAAGCACATTTCTACACCCTGACGCTGCAGGTTTGATCCATGTAAGTGGAACCATGGCGATTTGTCCTTTGCGACAGGCTTATTTCACTTAGCATAATGTCCTCAATATGGCATAGTTGCCTTCTTGAAGCTGAAAAACTAGTCCATACATGCACACACCACATTTCTTTATTAACCCATCCTTTGGTGAAATTTAGATTATTACACATCTGGGTCAGGAGCGCTATAACTCTGATACAACTTAAATAGAATTCTCAAGCTGGCTGACTTTGTCCAGCTGAGGATGCAGACCCATTACAGCTGTGCTCATGGTCCAAGTCCTCATCCCAGCCAGTAGCCACTGCCACACTTGTCTCCTCTAAGGGGACTGGAGGCCTAGGCCATTCTTTGCAGCAGCTCTGCTTCCAGGGAGATGCTGGGGAGTGAGAGCCCCTTTGGTGAGCCACACAAGCCCAGAGCAGGCTGCACATCTTTGCCATGCCCTGGTACCCCTTCTGCTGCTTTAAGGCGTCCAATACCCCCACCCTCCCTTCCCTGACCCCTCCAGCCCCTGCTATGCCCCCCCTCTGGCTTTATAACTGCAAGTCTTACTTAGCATGTCTTGCAGACCCTTAGGACCAGGATCCTCCTCTTCCAGCTCATTATCCCTCCTTCATCTTCTCCTATTCTTCTTCCTCTTTCTCCATCCCCCAGCCCTATGGTACCAAACTACACCGACCATACGTTATGTATTTCTAATATGCCTATGGTCTAGTATACCCACTTGTCTTCCTTCTTTGAGGGGAGGGACATGTCTTCTATTCCTCGATACCTTGTCCTTGGTCAAGGACTTGACATATTGGATGTATTCAAAGGGTGATCAGATGGTGGATACATGCATGATGGATGTTCCAGCCACTGGCACAATGGGCCCAAATCAGTTGGCTCCAGATAGTCTGTCTACCAGAGAACATGTGTATTTCAGCTCTGGGACTACCCCAGCTACCATATTAATTCCTGAAACAAGTCCACTTTGTCTATGAGAAGATTAGATTCTACTGTCCACAGCTCTTTGCGATTGCCAGGAGGTCAAAGGGATACATGACCCCTGCCTTCTCTGGGAAGGAAAGAAATCACTAAATGTCTATGGTCCTCCCTGCTCTGCCTGGGTGTCCTGTTCTCATCAGATGCCTACCACCCTTCCTTCCATTTAGGGTTTTCACTCCTGGGGATGTATCGAAAACAGAATGCTTGCCTGGCACATGTGAGGCCCTGGATTCAATCCCCAGGACTCCAGAAAAGACTCTCACTTTTACATCCCCTCCTTTTGGGTTAAACATCTGTAAGTTTTCCAAGAGGGCTGCAAACCCTGTTACCAAAGCTAGAGGAAAGCAGATTAAAATTTTTAGAGACCGAGAAGCAGGAAAGTTTTCACCAACAAGTAGAACAAAGCTGTGGGCACGTGCTCGGGAGAAGGACAGACAGACGTCCGGCCCTTGGCCTCTCTCCCAGCTCCCCTTCATATCTGAAGAGTCCAGGACTACACCTTACTGCCCCTGAGTCTTGCTCACATTCTCACCTCCCACCTCCAGTGGGCGCTGCTGAGTTAATGGCCTGAACCATGTCTGTGGTGAGGGCATCCAGCAGGCTGGTAATAAATTCCATCTTCTTCCCTTCAGGACAGCCTAAAAGACAAGAGGAGACTTGAAGGCAGAATCCAGGTCACTTACCAAGGCAACAGCTTCCTCGACGATCCCCTCAGAGTCTTTGTCCAGCCAAAGACTGGGGGCGTGTTCACTGCTCAAATGATGGCTACAAAGCCTCCATCATTCCTCTGTGCATAATCCACAGGGAAGCACCAGACCAAAAGGACAATAACGCGCTCGGCTTCCTTCCATTCCATAAAGTTCTGATGAGTACCGATACAGGTACTGCGCAAATGCTAGGGAGACAACAGATGAGGTTCTTAGCCTCACAGACTTTGCAAAAATTTGCTGGGCCAATGTACTCAAGATAATAACCAGACAGGCACGGTTCGTATGAAAAACAGTGCTATGGGGGCAAGAACCAGGTGTCGAAGAGGCACAAGAGAGGGAGAGCATCCTCCTGGTGCAAGCTGATTTGGGTGGACCTATCAAAAATCTCCTCTTTTTGCCCATCCTTTCTCAGCCGAGATGATAGCTGAAGAGTCCTTCGTAAATTCCCACAAGTTCCTGTTCTTGTTTCACTATTTCGGCAAAAGCCCAAGCATGGGCAAGCCTTCTCACAGGAGCGCCTGTCCCAGATCCATGCCACCAAGAGGAGCATTGCTGAGGAAACACACCCCTACCACTGCAGAGATGGGAGTCCTCCTCACCTGAACCAAGTGGGCCCTCAGCGCAGCCGCAGCCCCGCCCCCTGCTGCAGCAGCTCGGCCCTTCTCTCTCCGAACCCCCAGGTGTCGAATTAAATATGACCTCTCAGAACAGTGTAGACTCTAGAGTAAGTTCTCCCACAGTGCCTCGCTCTTCTCTTGAGGGTACCTGGCCTGAATCTCTATGTGCATGCCTTCCTTTATCTTTATATGACTCATCTCCTCTACTCAGTGAACCTCATGTCCCTGAGCGCTAGATCGAACCATGTCCGGCATGAAGTCGAATAGCTATCCCCAACCTGTTGAGGGGTAGCTAGAAGAAGGGGCCCTGGCTTCCTTGCCTCCAGTTTCGTGACACGGTGATTTCTACTAACCTCACATGGAAAGTCCGGGACTTTTGGGACTCCCCGCTTTCAGTTCTCACTTTGGAGTCCTGATGGGCAATAGGAAGATGGCACCAGTTCTCATCAGTACAGACCGAATCTTGTACTGAGGAAAGACTGCTAGTGAGCATGAACTTGGATGGCTCCCACCTCCGCAGGGGTGCGGGGGGTGTTTCCCCAGCCATGCTCCTCTATGTGGGCGTAGGTCTAAGGCAGGGTCACCTGTGAGAAGGTGTCCCTGTGCTTGGGCTTTTTCTAGAATAGTGCACAGAAAAGAGGGGCTTGCAAGGATTTACAGGAGAGCGTCTGTAATTCTATATACCCTGTATTTAGAATTCTTATTGCAACTCAGAGTTTGCTATAAATAAGGGAAAATCCAGCCTAGTGACAATTTGGGGGTCCTGGGCTCTTGCTAGTATATCTCATGTCACCCTTAGTGGCCATCCTGTGTCACCAAGGATCATCATATAAGCATTCCACAGAACAGGAGGCAGACACCACCCAGACCCCTCAGGGATGCCACTCCTTGTAAGCTACCTTAGTTTTACAGACCCCAAAATTTTGTCCCCGCTTCACCGAGATGGAGATTGACCATGCAGTTCTTGAGACAGTTTTAAGGCCATGACTACGTTCTTAAGATGAGGAGGAAAGAGCGTGGGAGGGAAACAATGTTCTCAAGGGCACAGGACTAATTTGGGATGCAGATTCTATGGCTTCTGGGTCTGTGCTCCTGTGATGGACCTTCCCAGCATGCCTTGCTCCACACTGCCAAACGGGCCAATGAGGAAACAGACGTAGAGGAGAGAGTGGCCTCTGCATGGTGAGGGGATGAGAAGCCCAAGGAAGTGGAAGTGTTAGCACCATCAGGGCAGTGTCTCCTACCTGGCAACTCCCTGTCCTTGAAAGGGTCATCGGCCTCCGCGCTCCTGGCTCTGGCGTCACTCTCACAACTTGGCATCACATAGCTGGGAAGAGAGACAGAGAAACGAAGTGGGGGGGTCGGCAACCGAGTCGTCTTCGGCCACCACTGCCCGGGAACGATCTGTGTAACCGCTAAGCCAAGAGAGAGAGCCCTCAGGGAGGAAAACAGTCCCTGAACTGTCCAGCAGCTACAAGACAATCCAGCGTAAATGCTCCCATTGAGACATGTTCAGGCATGTCATATTAGCCATGCAAGCGTGATAACAATGCCAGCTCCAATCTGCACATGGGATCCTTTTTTTTTTTTTCTTTTTTTGATATATAGGACTTCATTTGTAACCTGGGAGGCACAATAAGCTTTTCATCAGGGAACTGAGGCTGAGAGAGATTAAGTAGTTTTCCAAGGTCCACAGCTGGAAAGGAACAGATCAGTGATCAGAACTCAGGTCCCCAGGCACTTCTACCAGACCCTCATCTGCTTTGGAATGGAGACCTCAGTCTCCCATGACCTGCCTCTAAGAGAAGGAGGGCGGTGATAACAATAACAGCAGCATAACCAGAAGCTGGTCCCTGTGGGATGCTCCGAGAAGAGGGCTTACCGTGTGGAAGTCCCAGGCAACGGGCGCCCTGTGTCCACTAGGACACACCAGCAGTAGCCTGTGGACTGGTGACATTGCACCGGTTTATAAAGCCCACCGGGGGCGCACTCGGGGATCACAATGCCCTCACGGGGATTCTGTCGGGCCTCTTCCAGGGCGCTCTGCCTCTCCTGGTCACAAGAGTGGACTTTCTCTGTAAGAAAAGATGCAGCTCCTGGTGACGATTATGCCTCCTTCTGTCCAGAATCCGTAATAAATAGCCAGGACCAGGCCTGCCCCAAGGAACTGACGAATCATCCCAGACAACCATGTCTTCTTGCACGCTGCCAAGGTGAAAGCCCCAGAGGGCCAGAGCCTCCCCTGTGGCCAGCTGCACAGCCAGGGGCTCGTCAGCACTTTCACCAAAGAGGCTCTCGTGTAGCAACAAGCCAGCCAGGACTTCAGGGCTACTTCTCCAAGCAGCAGTTTACTCCGCAGCTGGAATGGTCCTCCATTTTCAGAGTCATCCCTGCCCAGATACACTGGGTGCGGGCTTCAGAAGAGGCAGTAGCCACACGGCCCTGCAAGTGGATGCTGGGATGCCTGTGCGGGGGACATCGCCTAGTCTAGGCATAGCGGGACAGAGCCACAGACCACCACCCTTGTGCAGGGTGACGCTCCACACCCAAATGAAAGGGCAACAAGAGCCAGCCCTGGCTCCTTTCACCCTCCAACACAGGCAGACAAAGAACGAAAGCTAGTGGGCAGATTCTCCCACCAGACAAGAGCAGAAACAGCGGAGGCAGAAGAGTGTCTGAAGTTGGTAGCTTCAGGCACATGTGAACATGTCCAAACAGCCAAACCAAGTCTCTCCAGAGCCAGGTCCAGACAGAGACAGTACCTGGGGCCCTATGCCAGGTGCGGCCAACTCACCGAAGCCTCACTCCTGTAGGACCCTTCCCTGGGAAACCCTGCCCACAAACCATCCTGCCTTCTCTCTTCCGGATTTTTTCCTTTCTTTGTTTGACTGGGGGCTTTATTTTGGGGGTGTTATTGCTTGATTTGAAATTTTTGTTTGTTTTAATTTTTTGTTTATTTAGAATTTAGAATGTAAATTTGTATTTATTTAGAAAACAAAGCATTGAGTCTGTTTCCTTATCACAAATAACATTTCAAAAAAAAGAAAACCTGTACAAACCATATGGCCCCCCCAAAGAGGAACCCCCTCCAACCTCCCTTAGATCTTGTCAGGCAAACACCAACACAACTTCAAGGGGATTACATCAGAGGCTTGGGACAGCTCCCCAGCTCCAATTTGGTAGCCTCGTTTTCCTACCTCATATTTCATGCCATGAAAGAGCTGATCAGGAAACAAAGGAAAACAGCTTTTACGGGCACCACGTTCGTGTAACGACCTCTGACAGGGGCTTTAAATCAAGACTCTCTAAGGCCAGCCTCGCCAGCCATAAATCAGAACCACGGCAAGATGCGAAGGGGAAGGGGAGGAACACCGCCCCCCTTCCAGGGCAGCGGGCTTGATGAACCTAACCTCACACCAGCGGGGCCTGAAACCTGGGGAAGTCGGGGCAGGAGCTGGGCAGGAAGAAGATCGGGCCCGTGGTTTGGGTCCCATGGAGGGACTTCTGGACATTCTTGAAGGTTTACTTTAAGTCAGCTTCTGTGACCACCTATGGGGAATTAAATCATGAAGAAAGGGAAGCTCCCAAATCTAGAAAAATAGAGATTAGCATGGAATTAAAGAGAAGACTAAATATAGGATTCATCACTTTAACGTCCACTCTGAAAGTCTGGGTGCCCTGTCAGGGAAACGGGAACGACAGAATAGCTGGCCGAGGCGGTGGTTCCGTAGGTAAAATGCCTGCCACACAAGCATGAGGCCTCCAGTTCGAATCCTCATCACCCATATACAAAGCCTGGCACGGGCTCCACGATTCTGTAACCCCACCAATCGGTGGGACAGGAACAGATACAGGGGGCTCCCTGGAGCTCATTGGCCAGCCACCCGACATGAGCTCCATGTTCGGTGAGAGACATTGTCTCAAAAAAAGAAAAAAGAGACGTAATCCAGAAAGACATCTGACTTCAGCCTCTTGCCTTCACAGTGATGTATACACATGTGTACCTCACCCCCACTCCCACATGAACATGGAGAGAGAGAGAGAGAGAGAGAGAGAGAGAAAGAGAGAGAGAGAGAGAAAGAGAGAGAACCAACCATTTGTGAAAAGTATGCAATGTGTCTTCCAGAAAGGAAAAAAAAATCTCTTAAAATGACTTTTTAGAGCTACTGATTCCAGCAAATATTCCTTGAATGAAGTGCACCAGGCAACAGAAGAAGGCTTTGCCTGTCTAGCCTCTTGGCCCGCCTATTCTGGGCACTATTATGACCCCAGCTTTGTAAACACAGAAGGAAACAAACTCCAGAGAACGTGAGTTTTTCTCAAGCTCACTCTAAGAAGGAAGACTTGAACTTGGCTTGAGGACCACGGACAATCCAGCCCACCTTGCTAGCATCTAGCCACCTGCTCTTGAGTGAGAACACACTTGTTTTTACCTGGGTTCCTCCAGATCAGACACCTGACAGCCTCTCCAAGAGCTCCACTCAAGAGCAAATGTGTTCACACACATCTCCCTCTAAATGAGCACACCCTCTCAGCCTAGGCACACGAAGCTTGGCCCTCAGGATTTCTGTCTCTTTGTCTCGGAACTAGAAAACCGAAAACCAAATTTGTAGCTCACCCACCATTATAGATCTATACAGTGAATGAAAGACAAACATTTACGTGCTTAGGAAGTGTGAGGTGAGGGACATCTATTTGTATCAACTCAATTCGCACTATTTCCAGTCTTCGAAGACAGGTATTAACATCAGGGACACAGACTGACTAAAAGATTTGATCAAGATCATGAATTAGAGGGCTGGGGCTCAGTCGGTGCAGAGCTTGTCTGGCATGCCAGAAGCCCTGGGTTTGAGCCCTAGCTCTGCAGAAACTGGGCCTGGAGTCCCATCACTCAAGAGACAAAGGCAGGAAGATCAGAACACAAGCCCAGGATACACAAAGCCCTGTCTAAAATAATAATAATCATAATCATAGCCAGCAGGAGGCAGAGGTGGAATTCCAGCTCAGCCCAGCTGTGTTCTTTACCTCTCTACAATGACATATTCCATTGCTACAGGGTAACCCGAGTTTTATTCCCTTCTATACTTTTCTTTTACCTAACAGTCCATGATCACCAAATAGTCTCCAATGGTTGTGTCTCGGCCTTGTGTTGGCCAGCCCCCATGGACTCGGTCTGACTGGTTTTAACCCACAGAAGAACAGTGTGATGATGCTGGAGAAGCAGCCCAGGCCTTCGGAGGTCTTGCGGCTTCTGCCTTCACTGTCAATGAGCCCTAAGATCACCACATAAGGGAGCTACTCAGGCCCGCTAGCAACACGACTGAGGTCAGTTTGGATGTTCCCACCCCACTGATCCTCCACTTGGATGAGCAGAGGAGCCAATTCATGTAAAACTAGTGAGACAGTCACTCTGTCACCTGACAGATACACTGGCAAGAATAAATGATTTTTCGGATACACAAGTAGGTTTGGGCTAGTGTGTTATTTAACAACGGGTACCAAATATCTAGTTAGACCTGCTTAATTCTTTGTCACTTTACACTACGGGGATTCTTGTAGCCTCTGTAAGCCCTTCAATCAGCACCCTGGAAGTCACACAAACACTAATTAGAAGTCCTGAGGAGTAGACTCACTACATATCTGAGAACTAGTCCATCCTCAGAGCCACTCTCCCTGCTTCTCAGTCACCTCCCAAATGAGTCTTACCACCCATCTCTACAGTTTTCTCAGAGGTTGGTTTACAGAATGCAAGCCGAGATTGACTTCCAGGGTCTCTTCGGCCACAGTAATTCACAGAGCCAGGAGCTCTGCTAACGCAGAGGCACACCACTCTAAAACACTTCATCTCTCCTTAGGAAAACTTGGGAAACAGAGAGAAGGTGGGAAGGTGTGGCCCAGTAACTATGAGAATGGGCCAGGGCTACTTGTATATGCCTGGAAGACAGAACCCACACCAGAGAAGAGAGAGCACAGGGATGGTACCAACACACACTTGTACACGTCCACATATGATCTCCCAAACCTGCCCCTGATGGTGCTGAGCAGTGAGAGCCCAGTCACTCTCTACCCAGCAATGAAACCTCACTCAAAGAAGAAACACAACAGGAAAGTGCTGTAGAATGTTGTTTTAAGGCGTGTTACTTTTGTTTATGCTGCATTTGTTTAACTCTGTGAAGCTGTGTTACTTTGCCTGTCTAAAACACCTGATGGTCTAATAAAGAGCTGAACGGCCAATAGCGAGGCAGGAGAGAGAACTAGGCGGGGCTGGCATGCTGAGAGGGTAAATAGAAGAACTCTGAGAGGATTTAAAAAAGAGAGCAGCCAGAGGAGGAGGACTCCAGGGGTCAGCCTCCCGGCTCCAGAGCCAGCCACAGAGAAAGAGAAAGATTTACAAAAATAAGAGAACGGGAAAAGCCCAGAGGCAAAAGGTAGACGGGATAATTTAAGTTAAGGAAAGCTGGCAAGAAACTAAGCTAAGCTAAGGCCAGGCAGTCATAAGTAACAATAAGCCTCCCTGTGATTTACTGGGGAACTGGGTGGCGTGCCCCTCAAAAAGAGTAAAATACCAAAAACAACAGAAAAGCATCTCATGCTAGCAATGTACAAAGTCCTGGCCTTGCCACCAGAAGACACACAGTGTGTCTTTCCCCAGTCACATGTGGTAGGGAAGAGAGTGGGACCAGAGAACAGCAGTGAGCCAAGCTGGAGACAAAGCTGGAAAGGCCAGGATAAACCAGATGAACATAAACCCGTCTGCGGGCCCAGGGCCCAGGTCCTTATGTGTCAGCCAAGATGGGATCAGAATAGAGGACATCTCTGTCTGGCTCAGGTCTCTGTGTCTCTTGATTACCCATGGTAATTAGGAGCAGAGGAGAGCGTGGATAACCTAAAATCTCAGCTAATCCCCAATGTTCACTGGAGCCCAGGGTTTATCCTCTCTTCCAGGACTCTTCTCCTTCTTCGTCTTTTCTTTATTTTCATATATTTTTAAAAGCAAAAACGGACAACCAACATTACAGGATTTGGGTTGGTCTTCCTTTCGGGTTATTGACTTCCAGAGAAGGAAGATCTGAGA